AGCCCATTGTCTTGATGGAGCACAGTCTGTTTATCCATTCACCTGCCCAGGACATCTTGGTTCCTTCTGAGTTTTGGCCATCATGAATATAGCTACTATACCATCTGTGTGCAGGTTTTGGTGTGAACAGAAGGTTTCAACTCCTTTGGGTGAGTATTGGTTATATTATCATGGCTTTCACTGAAACATCATAAATCAGAAATCATGTCCACACAGCACTCCTTCATTCACTCTTGGAGCTTCCACTTCTGGAACATTCCGTGGTACAAATATTTGTCTGTGAATTGGCAGGCATGTTGGTCCTCATTTCAGAGCATGGAAGGTACAGTTTCCTGGCTACACTCAAAGGTAGGGTCCCAGAGAAATGGAAATGTCACTGCAAGTAACCTCAGGCCGAAGCTGGGGCTGGGAGGCTTCCAATTTTCCCCTTGACAAAGAGGGACAGGAGAGGGCCTGGGGAGCTAGGCTCAGGCATGGCGACATGTGCTGTGTGCCTCTCTGTCTGCTGTGCCACAAACCCCAGCTCCTGTCCCTGACCTGTCCTAATCAGCACTTGGGCCCCTTCCCCATCTCAGGTGCCCACCTGGCCTCACCTGGGCTGCATGTGGGCCCTGCTTTCATCAGAGCCCCTGCAAGCTCTGAGGGCGCTCCTCACCCAGTAGCTTTAGATGCCAAACTTTCAGAAGTGCAGGAGCTTCTCCCAAGATGTCATGCTGTTGGAGGAATCTTAGCATAGAGGAGACTGCTAGAGGGGTTTCCAAGCTCCCGGAGTCCCTTTCCTGGTGAATGTGGGCATGATGGGTTGGGAAATATTTAATATCCGGCAATGAGCATAGTCGTGAAACACAGCCTGACACCTGTGATGTCAGACCTCCCACTCTGGCCAGTCTCCGGGATCAGCTCGGCATCACTGAACACAGGGCTGGGAAGGGACTTGCCGCCTCTCCCCATATGTACAGTTTCCACCAGATACAATCCTAGAAAGCCCCTCAGGGAAAGATAACAACAGAATGGAGTTGAATAATTTTAAAAGGATGAGTTTGAGTGTAAGTACCTTTGTTTTGGATGCAATTTATTTAACTACTAAGTACTAACGTATTAAGTTCCTACCATTTAATCTTTCCTAATGGCGCTGATTAATTGCAGATTTGCAAGATTTCTGAAAATGCAGCACCCCACTGCAGCCAGCTGCCCCGGGCTGACTTCCTCTCTCCGCCTGGCATGCAGCAAGGCAGCGGTCGTGTGCACACACACCGGTACTGTATGTCCCAGCCAAATGCAGTAATCAAGAGGAAACTCGGGTCCAACCCATGGTCCCCTGGAGCAACTATGAGCTGAGGCTGTCCCTGGGTGGCAAGCACTGGAAGCTGCCCTGATCAAACCTGTCTGGAAAGGAGCCTCTATCTTGGGCAGACCTCTGTGCTGGTCATTCTGAGGGCCCTTAAGCCAGGGACAGGACTGGGGTGCAGAATCTGGGGGCTGCCAGTTAGCCTCCTTAGGCTGCCATGGGAATCAGGGCAAAACGGGACATACCCACCTCTCTGTTGTTCGAGATCCAGACAGGATTCTGTTTTCTTACAGGTAGGCAGAGGAGGCAGAGGCAGCCCTTTTCTGGGTTTTTTTTTTTTTTTTTTTTTTTTTTAGTATATGTGCTGCCGAAGCGAGCACTCTGGGGTTCTTTATTAGAGCAGAAAATACGAAGCGATTCCTGTAATGGTCCAGCACTAGCGTCCAAAGGGAACAAAGTAACAAGGTCCCTAGAAGCAAAAGGACTTAAGGCACAGCTGTGTCACCCTCTGGTGTTCACAGGTGGAATGGCAGGAGTGTGAGCCCCGAGAGGCTGTGCCCGTGGCAGGGGCTGGAGGGCAGGCTCTGTCCCCGCGGAAGGGGAAGGAGACAACTCAGACAACTCGGGACAGGTGACATTGTCTTGCTGTTCTCCTGGCTCCTGGGGCAGAGGGCTGGGGTGTCCGCATTCTGCCGAGGAGGAGCTGAGTGTTAGTGAGTGTGCTCTGAGCAGGTCTGAGGCACGGTCACCCCCGCACAGGGAGAGGTCACTGTGGATGGGTGTGGACCTCACAAGCATCAGAGAGCCCCTCATTTGCCACCAATTTCCTTAAGGATCACACCCCACCCAGCTGCAGACAGCCTTGTCAGGTGCAGCCAGAAGGACAAACTCTCTGTGAGTCCAGTGTCCCTGGGCTGCTGGTGCCTACGTCTGGGGACACAGGAGGGAGGAAAACCCGGCACTTGGAGTCTGGGGCTGGCCTCTGCAGCCCCCTGGCCTGCCCCCACCCCGTCCTGGATTCTGTGCTCTCTCACCTCTCTGAACCTCGGTGCCCATCCCTGCCAGGTGACAGTGATAACACCTGACCAGCGCAGCTGTCGGGGATTGCATTTCACTCTGTGTTTGAAGACCTCCCCGGGCAAGAGACGCTGAACTAGCGTCTCTCCACGCCATGCTTTCTCTGAGAGGATAGGCTGCGGCAATGGTGCTGGTCGAACGAGGTCCTTGTGGGAAGTGCCACTTTAAGATGGTCTCTGTAGAATGAGACTGAGTAGGTTTCCAGAGGGAAAGTGCCTGGGCATTCAGGGAGGGCAAGCCTGCCTCCAGAGTCCTCCCTCGGGGACAGCAGCGACCTTGGCCTTCCTCTGTGCCCTCTGCCCTCCTCTGTGCCCTCTCAGGAGCAGGGCCCCAGCTGGCCTCTTCAGAGGGACCAAAGGACGCCTCCACCAGTGGTTCTCAATCTTGGCTGCCTAGGAACCACCTGGAGATTTTAAATCACCACAGTCAGGTCCACCTGTAGGGATTCCGATCTAACTGGTCTGGGTTCAGGTAGGCAGTTGAAGCTTGAAAGCCCTGGACTCATCCTCGTGTACGGCCGGGAGTGAGCAACCCGGCCCGAAACCAGTCTTAGTGGCTGGAAATCACAGCAGCCCGGGTCCTTTCCACCTGGCCCTGCTGTGGCGCAGACAGTGGGCTCCTACTGCCGTGGGATTCTGTCTGGCTCTGCCCTATCCTACTATCTGTCTGGAGCCCTGGGCCTGGCCCCATGTCCCGCTCACCCACAGCCACACCTTCTGCCTCTGTCTCTATCCCTGTCTCCTGCTCCTCCCACACTTGTCTCTGCATATTTGTCATTCACTGTCTGGCATCTATAAGCTGTCCCCTCTACCCATCTGCACAGCTGCCAGAAAATCTGGCCCTGCCCACCTGTTGGGTGCTCCTCTCTGGAGATGCAGGGTTTCGTCCCAACTTGCCTGACGTGTTTTCTCCAGCATTGAGACTGTGTTTCCAGGAAAACCAGCCTCTATCTGTCTGTGGCCACAGCTCACCGGACATCTGTGACAAGGTAAACAGTTAGGGCCCTGCGGGGTACCAAGCCCTGGGCTCTCCTTCTTTTCTCACATGGGTTCCAGAGAAGGTGGGGTCGGTGTTTGAGCCCGTGAGCACTGTCCCAGCTTCACATCTGAGGATTCAGAGGCAAGCCACTAGTCATGAGGGTGCTCATCCTCAAGGTGAAGGTCACCACGGCCATGAAGGGCCCAGCAGAGACGGCAGGGCTGTGGCAGCTCCCCTAAGGGCTGGCCTACTTTCCCACATCAGTCGATGGCAGGTCTGGGAAGGAGAGGAGGGTGAGAATCAGAATGAGCCCCATGGAGAGGGGGGAGTGACAAGTGAGGATGGTGGTCTGGGTGATGATAATCAGAATCATTTGTGTAACAGGAGAGGAAAAAGGAAGGGACAGAGAGGTGCCAGATAGGAAACTGAGGCCAGAGGCCAAAGGTGGCCAGAAGGATCTCAGTGTCCAGTCAGCCAGTGTCAGCCAGGAAAGGTTTTGGACAGGAAGTCAGAGCTAGGCTTTGGGAGCTCAAACGTGGCCAGAGGTTCCAGAAGGACGAGAAGGGAGACTTGGGACATTTAGATAGCTGGGGAAATGGGTACAAACACCCCAGGCCAGAGATCCTCAGGCCCTGAGCTACTGCAGTGCCCATGGGAAGGGAAAGGAGGAGAGGGAAGTGGGCAGCGTCCCTGTCAGCCCCCCTCACCGGTCACCCTATCCCGTGTCTCTCCCTATCTCCGCCCCCCCGGCGGGGTCCATGCACACAACTTATTTCTGAATTACATCCCCTTCCAGTGGGAAGTAAGCTCCACAGGGGAAGGCATTTTGATCTCCTTCTGCTTATTTAGCTGTCTCCCCGCACATAATAGCCCTTCAAGGAGTGCAAACGTGAGGTAAGAGCCCAGAATCTGCTGGACACGCCCACTGCCCAAATACGCGACACAAAGAGAGCCACCAAAGACGCCCCACAGGTGGATCCCAATAACCAAGAGGAGGTCTTGTGGCAAGTGCGGCTACCCCACACCCATCCCTGTCCCCCATGCTGCCACATCTGCTGACCTGTCCTCAGCCTAGACCAGAAACCCTGTGTCTCAGTCTGAGGACCCTTCCTCGCCCACACCCACAAGAAAACAGCAGAGCGAGAAATGCAATCCCTGTTGGAGATGAGGAGATGGCGTGGCTGACCCCCAAAATGTCAGCCTTGCGAGCCGCTGGATAAACCCATCCTGCCTGCATCCGCACGGCCCTGCCTAGGGACACAGGGGCCTCTTGTTATCACTGTCATGAGCACTGACATCACCGTTGGTGTCGTGTTGTTGATATCAATGATGGTAACAATAGTACCAAGACCCGCCGTTCATCGCACCCAAGAACTTGACCCAGGCAGACATGAAGGCAGTTTAACTAACGTTATTTTATTGCATTTCCCCCAACAGTCCTAACCGGTAGATGGTCACGTCTTTGTTCCACAGAAAAGGAGCGTGAGGTGCAGGGAGTTCAGGAGCCAGAGGATAAAGGTGGCAAGTGTGTCCGTGTCGCAGATCAGAACTCTCTTGGCCAAGCACCGCACGTGGTCCCCCACAGACCAGGACCCCTGGAAGAAGGCGAGGAGCGATCTAGCGGACTCCATGTCACCCCGTGGGGCCCAGCAGGCCTGGCACGTGGGGACATCCAATCGGAGGGGGGACGCGATGCCCACAGAAACATCCCGGGTCCCTGCCCCTCTGGGGCCTAAGGGCGGGAGGGCTGGCTCGTCACCAGGTCCCTCTTCTCAGTGCGCGGGTCCCGCTTCAGGATGGGTCCAAGGACGACGTCCACCTCCTGGTGGGAGCCCACGTCCCTCTTGGCCCTGACGATGCAGCCCCTGCGGCAGCGGGAGGAGTAGTCGTTGGCCCTGCACACCACCATCTTGCAGTGCAGGTACACAGAGGGGAAGCGCCTCAGGAAGAAGAAGGAGCTGAACTGGAATCGGACGATGCGAGGCGAGGGCTGGGGGTAGGAGCGGTAGGTGCTGTCCTTGGCGCACCTGCAAGAGGAGAAGAGCGGCCGTCAGCTGGGGGCGCTGGGCGCACTGCCTTCCGCAGGACGCGAGGCCCCCACAGCGACTGTTGGGAAACCCAGGAGTTGCGGCAGCAGATCCTGAAGCCGCACGGCAGCCCGGGCTTTCCACACAGACGAGCAGGCCCCAGGTGGCACAGTGGGGGCTCCGTGCCGCTGGGTGCTGGGGGGCCTGGAAACGCGGGGCCCAGAGAGAGGGCACTGGGGAAGGCGGCATTTCCCTTCCTTCCCTGCCCGCAGGGCTAGGCAAGGCCACACTGGGCTACTCTCTAGTATCTTCGGTGGCTAGCACCTCGCCCCCACCAAAGTCTCTGGGGCCATGTCTCCTGACCCACCTCAGCTTGCCCTGAGCCTTGGGTGGCCCTGCTTTCCACACAAGCCTGAGTGCTCTCCAGTACCCCTACTCCAATATCCACCCCCTCCTTATTCCCTCAGAGGCTGCCTTCTCTCCACCAGTGTTAGCAGGAAGATTAGTTAAGAGTCCCCTGAAAGAGGGGCGCCTGGGTGGCTCAGTCGTTAAGCATCTGCCTTCAGCTCAGGTCATGATCCCAGGGTCTTGGGATCGAGCCCCACATCGGGATCCCTGCTCAGCGGGAAGCCTGCTTCTCCCTCTCCAACTCCCCCTGCTTGTTTTCCGTCCCTCGCTCTTGCTCTCTCTCCGTGTCAAATAAATAAATAAAATCTAAAAAAAGAAGAAGAAGAATCTCCTGAAAGAGCAGGACGAGAAACATTTCCCAGCTCTACCCCTGGTGGAGGAAGCAGCTTCCGTAACCCACGACATCTCTTAACGGGAGGATTTGGGGTGACAGAGCAAGGACGGAAGCAAACTGGTACTTGGGGTTTAGGGTGGAAATTTTTTTGTGGGGGATGGGAACCGTCACTAGGACAGCCTGATTTGCCTGGAAATGTGGCCCAGGGTTCCCTCGGTATCTTCCCGCCCCTTCCAGAGTCTCCTTCCTCTGCTTTCAATGCACATCCTCTAAAATACCATGTTCTTTTTTTCCCACAGGGGTCAATTTAGCAGCAAAGATGAGAAAGAAAGTACCCAGAACGTTGTCAGGAAGCAGGACATTTGTAAATGAGGTCAGGGTAACCCCAGGGCTGCTGGGCAATAAAACCACGTTTGCATAAAACCACACCAGTCAGTGTGGTCTGGAGGAGCCAGGGCTCCATAACCCAGGCCGCATTTCAGAATCACTGGGCCGGGGGGTATGGATTTTAAAACTACAGATACCCAAGCCCCACGACAGACCAAATAAAGTGAATGAGCAGGTGGGGCCCGGGCATGGCTGTGTTGGAAGCTCCTGATTCCTCTAATGGGCATCCAGGCGGGTAACCTGGCTGGTGCCCAGAGATAGCTAGTGAGTCCCCGCACTTCCCAGCCCTGATTCCTAGCAGAGCCCCTTTGCCTATCAGTACAACTTCTATATGATACTTCTGTGTGATTGTTACTGAAGTGCCAAGGTCGAATTATCAGCAAAGAAGGGTGCACACACCAATGGGCAGGGACGGAAGAGTAGGGATGGGAATTGCACATCCCAGCATCCCAGGACCCACTGATGAGCTCAGAAGAAGCAAACTCTACCTCCCCAGAGTCCTGTCATCCAGGGGAGCAGGCCTGTAGTGGACGAGTCCAACCTGGGCACCGCTGACCCCAGTCTGGATACCACTGACCTGACTTCTGCATCTCTCGAGTTGGTTAGACCCACCATTCTCAGCTGCTAGGTCAAGAGACTCCTGCTGACCCTGTTACTGGCAACGCTCCTTGTGGACCACCTGCCGTGCATACTCTTTGCCCAGAGCCCCTTTGCCTCCTTCCCATTTCATCCTCCCAACAGCCTATGATGTGGGCATCATGCTTCACATCTAAAGGGTGAAGAGACTGGCTCAGAGAGATACGACTGCTTGCCCAGAGTGATGCAGTGGGTACATGGCAGAGCCGGCGTCTCAGTCTCAAGCTGTTGCAGAATCAAGGCTTTCCCCACTACACGCATGTCTTCTTACAGAGTTTGGCCAACTGGGTCGAATCCCAGTTACAGCTAAGCTGCTTGGTGACAACTGGTGGCTCATTACTTCTCCACACATCCATTTCCATGGATGTTAACCATGTAGGACCACCTGACTGGTTAAGTTGGATCCACTAGAACCAAAATCCTTGAGACTTTGGGCTACTCATGTTTGAACTGTCGGGTGAAGCTTGACATTTGCCCCATGAAGACACTGCTTACCCACTCCGGATTAGATCATAAGTCAAAGATGTAAAGTCATTGGAATACGGGGACGCCACACAGGTATCCACAAACAAGGTCAGGGAGGTATCAGAATTGATGATCTCGGCCTGAAGGTACAAGTTCTGGTTCAGGTCCACGTAGTAGGGGTTGCTGGTCACCGGGTATAAAAATGAAGATGATGCATAAAAGGAAATGTTCACGTCAAAATTGCCATACTGCACTTCATTGATGTTGACGGTGTCATTAGCGATGTACATGGTGTCAACCCAGGTGTTCTGGAGCATTTTGCAGCTGATGTGAATGTGGAGATCCTTCTTCCTCTTGATGATGGCACTTGGAGCAGCTGCTTTGAGGAAGTTGGAATAGGTGATGGTATCATTATCTACCTGAGAGAGGAAGGCAGGAGAGCAAAGTCAAGCAAATGTCACCTGCTAAGGGAAGCTCATTGCTGATTTTGGTTACGATGAGAGCAAAGTGACTCAGCCAGACTTCAGAACCCTCCCAGGACCACACAGAGAAGGCACATGGGTGCCATGTTCCCATTATCTGGGCTGGACATGCTGTTTAACTAGGAGGACTCCCTCCTTTCATACAACCCCTTCCTCTTCCACGTAATGGGGAATGCAGTGTGGACCAGGTGTTGGGGCCTCCTAGGAGCTGCTCCCTGTGAGAAGATGGGTGTGTCTGGATGCCCCCCTGCCCTGCTGAATGGCCACCCTGAGTCCAGACTCCATGGCTCAGGGCCTTTCTTGCTTTGCTTCATTCTCGCTGTGGCTGGGAGATACCAAGGGAGGCAGCCATGCACCGGAAGGAGGGGCTGGTGGGATTCGTTTTCACTGTGCTGTTTGAATGGCTCAGTAGCTATTACAGCTTGGTATCTGAGGCTGCCAGGACTGGAAGTGACAGAGGGTGGAGTTTTAGCTGTGGTGGGTACCTGATCTCTGGGGTAAGGGCTCCTGCAGAGACTCATGTGGACAGCTGAGCGACACTGGATCACTTCCTGTCACACACTCCTTTGTCACTCCCTCAACCACCGGGATCTGTTGGGCTAAATGACTATCCCCTTCCTCTCCCACTGTTTGTTATGTGTCAAAGGATCAGCAATGACCTTGCTGGGTAACAAACAGTGTCATCTTAGCACCTAGCCCAGTACTGGCTCCCGGCAAATGCTCAGTACATCTTTGGTGAATGACAAGTTGATGTCCTCTGAGTGTGTGGGTCGTGCCCAGTGTACATATTCAAACATTTCATGTTGTGTATTTACTGTAGTCCTAAGCCAAATAAAAATATTTGCATGGTGTCTCTTCCCTGTTACTTAGGTGTCATCCCAAAATTCAGAATTTAGATGATTTCAAATAAATTTACATAAAATTAAATGCAACCATTGTAAGCATGCCATCCAGTGTGGTTTGATGATAATCACCTCCACAAGAAAATCCAGAACATGGCCACAAGCCAAATCAACGTTTTCCTGCCCCTTTGCAGGCAATCCCCTCCAACCAGGTCGGCTTTCCATCCTACATTTATTCTCCATTCCTGAATTTTATAGAAATGGAATCACAAAGTGGGTACTCTTATGTGGCTGGCTTCTGTCACTCAGTGTAAGGTTCTGGAGATTTTCAGAGTCTGACATTTGTCCTGCTACTTCTTGGCCAAGTGGCCTTGGGCCACCTGCTGGACACCTCGAAGTCCAGCCTCCCTGTATTTAAAGTGAGGTGACAATGAGAGAATTCTGGGTGGGTGTCCGGGGAGTATGACACCTGCTAATCCTAGTGCTTGGCCCCGGGAGGATGAACAACCATCCAGTTTGCTCAGGACTGAGGAGTTTTGTAGAACATGGGACTTTTCCATGCTGACATCTGAAAAGTCCCAGGCAAACCAAGACAACTGGTCACCCTGGATGGTGACAGCTCAGCTGCAGAGGTTGATTTACTGTGAAGCTAATAAAACTTCAGCCTCTGGGCCTCCCCCGTGCACAGGTTCCTCCAAGGCCTAGCAGTGTGCTGGCACAGCCCTATGTTTCTGTACTTACAAAAGTAAGATGCATTTGCATTCTCTGCTTCATGAGGCACCCGCCCCTTTCACCAACACCAACCCCAAACTCTATAAGCTTAAGGCCCTGTAAAACCTGGAGCTGCCTCTCAGAGCTGCTGTGGTCCTTGCTGATGGGAAGGCAGCCTGCCACGCACCCTCTGTGCCCGACAAGGTAGGGGAAGATGGCTTGCTGACCTTCCTTCCTCATCCTTACATTTCAAAGTGGCTATAGCTACACATCATGGCACTAAGGGACAGATTTAAATCTTCACCCTCATTACCCTGGTTATATCATCATCACGTCTCTGGGGTCCCCAGAATTCAAGAATCGCAGCACACATCACTATAAGAAAGCGTATTCAGCAGGAGATAGAGTAGGAAGCCCCAGACTTACCTGCTCGGTGGTGCCGCAGCCGGAATATGGAATTGTGAACAACACCTGGCTGGCCGTTATCTGGGGCTGACACTGGGAGCTTTCATTCCGGGTGGAAATGACAAGGTCCATGGCAGAATAGCCCAGGGACTGGAGGTAGCTCCTCCTCACGCTGGCTTGCATGTGGTTTGGCAGACAAAGCAACTCTGGTGGCCGAGGGCAAACAATGCAGGCAGTCAGCACCCCAGCAAGCCCACTAGGCGCTCCTCCCACATAAAGGTGCAGAGACCAAGATGGCGGACAAGGATGGTCCACATCAGAATAGGCCTCGCCACAATCCCGCAGGTGCCCCATGGCTCAGGTCCATGTCTTTCTCACAAGACCCCTTTGAGGGCACAGGGATTTCAGATTCCCCTGATGGAGAAGTGGAGGCAGGATGTGAGATGAGTAAAATGTATTGCCAACCTGCCATTTATCCATAAAGTAAAGTAATGCTCCAGCTGAATGAAGGAGATGTTATAAAATAAAGTCCTTTAGCTATGGAATGGGTCATGCTTAAAATCCTGACTGCCAAAGAGATCTTGGACATCCCCTCATCCAGTCCCTAGGGAATCTGTAAATCAGTCCATTTAACAGCTCAAATTGTGGCCATTAGCTTCAAGTGGCCGAGGGACCGGCTCAGTCCATCTTCAGAGAGCAGCCAAACTCGCTAAGTCTCCGGACACAGTCACAACAGCCAGGTGGTCGCCTGTGTCCTTGGCACTGGCGTCTCACCATCTGCTGAAGGTATGACCTCACACCTTCCTTTCAGTCTCTGCCAACCACAGGAAGACCACCACACTGCCCATCAGCCCGTTCTGGCCCCGGACCTCATTTCTGGGCAGCGGAGTCTCAAGACCACTGCTTGTGGCCCCTTTCGACACCAGATCAAGCCTTGGTGACGGGACAAAGCTGCTCTCATTTCTTATTCAGCAACCATAGAAGGGTTGAGCAGAGGGACCCCCCACCATGAGCCCCCACCAGGGGACTTACTGGTGTTATCTTCAGAAGGGCTGGAGTAGTAGTTGGCCTGGAAGCCCCTCCTCGTGATGCTGCCATCACTGACAAAGCGGATGGACATGAAGTTCGATGAGGAAATGAGGGGACCCATGGATCCATTACAAACCCGGGCGATCAGAGAGGAACTGTGGGAGGGGCCGTCGAACACCTCAATATAGTCATAACTGCAGCCCCCTTCAAGCCTGCGGGGACAGAACGCAGAGTTTCAGCTTCCCTTTCAGCCACGATGGGAGGCAGGGAGTGGGGGTCACACCTCTGTGGCAGAAATGCTGACAGAAGTAATAGTTGAGAATAATAGGAGGATAATTATCCCATGACCTGCATGCATCAATCTCTGTCCGCACATACGAAACCCACAGCCCCTCTCCTAACAGTCCTTTGCATCGTGAAAGGAAGGGGTCACAGCCTGTCCTAGATCGCTTCTTCAATCAAGAAGACCCCGGCTTCCCATTGAATAAAATAAGTAATCATGAATCTATAGTGATAGAAATACCTAACTGGACTAATGATTATTGGACAAGTCAAATAAGCTCTCTGAGGGTTAGGTGGTCGACCTTCTCCACAGATCACATGAGCTCGAAGTACAGTATCTGGGACCCGAAATGAATTGCAATGATGAGGCGATTAAAATAATATTATAACCTATGCAAAACCCGGATGAATTTCCGAGGCAGAGATTCGCAAGGACACAGCAACCAAAGAGCCAGAGAGATGACTGATGTGTTCAGTAGTGGCTTTCACAGAAGAAATGATTGCACCCCCTTTCCTGGACACCAGAAAATACCCATACCTCTGCGTGGTCACCCCTCCTTGGACCAATCATATAGTACTGGGGCTTTGACGCTGTCTCCTCTGCTTAAAGCAGTGATTCCCACTCTTTGTTAAATGAGGAATGGATAATGTAGCCTCTATAGCCGAGATTTCTCCACCACTGCTTGACGGCCCCCCCTCCCCGAACTCACCCCCTAAGAAAGGAGGCAATGGAGAGAAAAGGGTTAAAAAAAAACCAACAACAACTGGTATGGTTAATAGGATTCTGTGTTTTACCATTACTCCTAATAGTCACCCCTCCTGCAGGATAACATTTCCAAGCATTTTCACCTCTTTCTCTCTCGTGACCTTCCCAGTAGGCAGAGATGAGAGGAAAGCAGGTATTTTATTCCCTTGTTTTGACTAAGGTTCAGAAAAATTAAGTATTTTCTGTGGTCACACAGCAAATTAGTGACAGACCCAGGACTTTAAACCAGGGCTCTTGTGCTGGTCCCACCTCCACAGGCTGCCTCTGGGTAAAAAAATTGAACCTTTAAAAGAAAATGTCAATTGGGCCAACATCCGTCCAAAGGGCTGGGTACCATTCATTCTGTTCTAAGATATCTGCGAGGTCCCCCACGTGTTCGGCTCTGCACCCACGAACTTACTGGACATCTCTGAAGACAACTGTGATACGGTAGTTGTTTTGGACTTCAATGTCCCACAGACAATTGGCGTTGTTTGGATAGTTCCCCGGATAGAACGGGCTGGAAAAGTACCCAGATGGCTGGGTCAGGAAGCCTCCACAGGAATAATTTGCTGTTGAGAAGAAATGGAAATGTGGAGGGCCCCCAGAGCCCACTGTACAGTCACCTGGGGAAATTTTTAAACAACCCCCTGGCCAGAAATTCAGCAGGAGCTGGTATAGATCCAGACTGTACAAGGAGGCTCTACTTAAGGAAGCCATCTCCTCATTTTTGTCACTGTGCCCTCACTCCCCTCCCTCACCACTCCACCCAGTGGCACTGTCATGGAGGGGAAGAGAAAGGGGGTTTTGTCGGAGAGCCCAGAACTTATTGTTTGGGTGGGTGACATTGCATCGCACCAACAGCAGGAGCTGTTGACCAAGAAAAAAGGTAACAATCAGTTTCCTGATTGTTGGCACAATTGTTCAGTGTTCATTGGCTCTGTGCAGAAATGAGCCAGCCCTGGGTTCCCAGCGAGATGCTGGACGCTCGCCCTCAGATTGCTCACAGCCTGGAGCCGTGCATGCGAATGAGGAAATCCTAGCATAACGGGAGCGGGCTGTGATCAGGGTAAGCCCAGGACAGGGTGGGAGCCCAGAGCATTGCCTTCTGACCCAGACTGAACAGAGAAAATGGGACAAGTGTTTGAGGGGTAGCAGTCAGGCAAAAAAGTAGGGGGGTGCGGTTCCATGCAGAGAGAACAGCCTGAGAGCCACTAGCACGCTTAACGAACGTCAGTGTGGATGGAGCGGGAGGAGTGGGGGAGGAAGGCAAACAGACAGGGAGGTGGCTCTGTGCCCAGCCATGGAGATCTGCACCCAGAGGCCCCGAGGAGTCATGTGAAGGTTGTGAAGGTGTGAAGGCTGGGACCGACACTGGCATTTCATAAGGACGCCCCAGCTCTTTTGTAAAGAATGGACAGGGACAAGGTTGAGGGGTCCCTGCTGCAGGAAGCAGATGGTGAGGAGGGAGGATGGGGATGGGGGGGAAAGCCCCCAGGAGCCACGAGTTGCTGAGAATGCTTAGAGCACACGCAGCAGCAGCTCCGACGTGGGCCATTGCAGCTGTTGGTGGCTCCACACGGAGTTCGGTGATGAGACAGGACCCACTGTCCTTCAGTGACCAGGGCCTGGTGTCTGAGGGGACAGGCAGGACCTACAGTGCCTGGCCTCTCCTGGGGGCTGACTGGAGATCTGAATCTTAGGCTGGCCAGGCTCCTGCTGCTCAAAGAGGAGCCCAGAGAGAGGCCCAGCCCTGCTCGGGTGGGGACAACTGCTGCATGGGATACCAGTGCTGGGAAGACATAAGGGGCAATTCCTGGGAGAGCGAGTGGCATCCTGGGACCAGCTGTGGAGAGGGCCAGCCAGGCGGCTGGGTAGAAATCACGGGGACTTACCGTGCATTATTGGCGGGCTTCCTGGAAAGGGATAGGAGAAAAGCATTAGTCGCTGAAGTGTGGCGGGAGGAGGGGTTTGCACGCGGCAAGGGCACACCCATATGACTCACAGTCTGACCCCTTCTATGAACGCACTGGTGGGTCATGGAGTTATGGCGGTAAGGCCTGTGCTACTAGCGGGAGGCTTCAGGCAGAATCCCCAGCTGCTCCCCCAGCCCCATCATCACTTGGGGGTCATCAGGGCCACAGCCAAGGTCACAGCACCACTTATTCCTCATTTCCTACTTGTCTGGCATTGTCCTAAGGGTTTACATCCATGAGCCATTTAGGTCCCAGAGCGAATGGAAGGGTGAGAACACACGTGCACACCAGCTGTGCAGCAGCATGATGGCCCCAGGGTCTGGAAACCCCCAGAGATGAAGTAGCCCCTTCATGGCCTCCTGCAGCGGGAAGACCAAGGGCACAGCCGACAAGCTCCTGGTCCTGGGCTGCCCCACATTAGGGGCCTTGATCTGAGGATCTGCCTCCCTCAGAGGGCATAGAAAAGCGACTCTCGGCCAAGAGGTGACCCAAGCTCCAGAGGGAGCACAAGTCACCTTGGGGCAAAAATGCCAAGAAAGCAACAAAGTGATTATTGTCCTTGTTTAATGGAGTATAGGAATCGTCTTGGCTGAGCGGGAATGATGGCCCTTGGAGAGCACCCTACAGTGTAAATGATACCCCAGGTTTCCCGCCAGTTGACAAGAAACAGTGGGAAGTGGGGTCTAGAGCAGAGTTTCTGCCATAGAAGGCCTGGGCTTGCATCTTGTCTCTGCCTTTATCAGCTCCATGAACTCGAGCAAGTTACAGAAACTCTCTGCCTCAGTTTCTTCATCTGAAAAATGGGAGTGCTAATAAAGTCTGCCTAGTCAGATTCCTGTGTGCATTAAATGAGATAATACACACGAACCCTGAGAGCGGGGCCTGGCACATAGCAAGGGCCCGATGGTATCAGCTGCTATTATCTATCGCAGAATGCTAAATCATATTAATAATATTAAGTGTTCAAACTTTTGTTGGTCGGTTTAATAGACCATTTAAAAATACCTAGTCACTGACTGATAACAGAAACAAAAATCGACTCGAATCTTGTTTTCAAAATTGGTCCCTGTTATAGCATCTATGAACCAGCACGAGGACTTCACCTCCCTCCAAGGTCAAGAACTATTCTCACATATGGAAGGACCACATTTTGTACATCCGTTTACCAGGATGAACTTCCAGATTGTTTCCACTTTAGGGTTATTAGGAACACATTTGTCTGTAAGTTTCTGTGCCGTCACATGCTTTCCTTTCTCCTTGGTCGTATTTCTCCAATGATCCCAATGCTGACTTGAGCAGTT